TAAGGACAGGGAAATTGGAAATGAGTACCAAAGTTCCAAAAAAGCATAAGGGAAAGAAAAATCTTAATGAATGCGTGATTTACCTGCGCTCATTAGACCAAATCTCTTTGGGAACGCCAATAGATAACTTAGTGTATGGGACTCCCTGAACATCTGAGGTAGCCTTTGGTCCAGGGGAGGATACAATAGGAGCAGCCTGCTGGAATCGTTTCAAGCTCGTACAGAGACCTCGTTGAGAACTGAAGGCAGTCCTTGGGGAGGCCAGCATAACAAGATGCACAAGGCCCGGCATTTTGGCAAGTCCTGAAAAATTAAGCAAAACAACCAAGCATATAATAAGGTTTGTTGCTGTGAGCTGAATTAACATCAGGAAATGTATCTTATCAGTGTACAAGCAGCAGGGCCCCAACTCAAGATGATAAGGTGGCACTATTTGGCACATCAGCAGATACTTAGTTCTTCCACCCATATCACCTTATCACAGGCCACTTGTATGTTTGTTGTACACTTATCACAGATTCAGTCTTAATAATAGGGGGAGACAGGGCTATAAGCTCCAAAGTCCATTAGCAGGGTTTGCGGAATTTATAAAAGCCATAGCAAAAGACGGGATGCTTAATTATTTTTTTAAAGACAAGTAGAACATTAGCTTCACAAAAAAAAAAGTCTACTGATAACATGATGGACGCCGACAATAAGGCAACAAGTCGCTGGGGACCGGCACACAAGTACGTACTTGGGCGAAAGAAGGGGCAAATTCTCTCTCGACCACGTCAGTGTAACTTCAGGGGCAAATAGCGTCCCCAGTAAATTAGGACATGCCGGGGGCGCGTCGGACAAAAGGTCCTTGAACTTGCTTGACGCTGATCTTGTTGTCAGCGGTCAGCGGCGGGGGCGAGAGCGGCTGCTGTGCCGACAAAAACAAAAACAGTCCCCCATTGACCGTATATGGAATGAATTGCCTACATGACTTACCGGTTCTGCCTAGGGGCAGCACACTAGGTATACGCGACAGTCCTTAACGAATAAATACTCCTCAACAACTATCAGTTAGAACTAAAATTCCGTAAAATTAATGTGTTTTGAACAAAATGCATCGAGCGCTGGAGACCGCCGCTACCTCCCCCTCGACGATTCTACTGCTACTACTACCGCAACAACAAAAACACCGGGCAGACGCCGTGGACGTCCCCGGCCATTGAAGTTCGGTACGGGGCCGAAATAGGATGAGAAAACTGCCAACGCGGTAATTTTAAATGCTCGTGCCTTGAAGCCCAACTGCGACTAAGCAAAGATTGTAATTTCCCCTCCTCCTTCAATCAAAATTTAAAGGACAGAGATATACACGAAGTTTACGAAGTGGCGAGGAAATTCCGCGGGAAGAAATTACTTTCTTCCCTTTAAAAAGTATTGGAAACAGATTCCTCCCGTAAGGATAAGGCCCTCCATGATGGCCGCCAACAAATGAGGGCTACGGGCTTTAACAGACAACAGTTTACGCTACTCACATCACACTTACCCTCTTTTTCTATATTTTTTCGAGAAAACAGAAATCTTTGTGAAGAAAATTTTCTTTTTAACTATGCTGTTTTGGGTGAGTTGAAGGAAGTTGAAGCTGTTACACCACTCTTTTCTAAAAGGCAGTGGCGACAGCGGGTAGTGCATTTGTAGGTGGCGCAGCCGGCTTCACAAGCGAAATACTTCTTTCCGGTTCCTGAGTAGACAGAGTCCCGCATCATGAAGGCTAAGGGGCTGGTAAGAAATTTGTATTTTTGAAGCAATTTTCGTCCTTTATTCGTTCATGCAGTGCACACTTTATTCCGGATCGAAGCTTTACTCGATATGTCAGTTTTGATATAGTTCTGAATGTCATGATTCGGGAATTGTTCATCATAACAAAGTGCCGCGTGTTGCCTGACGTCGATCACGGGCAACATGGCTTACCATGTGGACCCAGCACCCTAAAACTTATTCTTCAGATTGCTCCCCCTTTTTAGTTGATGTGCTTTATTATGATTTTGTTATCAAAATTTGAGCCCGTTGCTGTACTCCACATTTGAGGTCTTGTTCATTGTACTGGATAGGAACATGAAGTGGGGTTATGTTTCCCTAAGTCAACCGAGCGACTGTTCTTTATCCCGTACTCACATTTGTGCTTTCTTATACTTTCTCAGTTATTACCTAGAAATCGTGTTAACTCCTCCCGCGACGCGCAGCTTGTCTTGTGGTTTTGGTGCCCTTCTTTCCTGTGTTTACAGTGATAGGCCTCAGCCCTGTTAAACATTTCATGTGATGTCGGTTGCTTAGCTAATTTTGTTTTTCTTTCTTCCAGTTAAGGGAGTACGAGGTTGTGGGTCGCAAGATCCCTACCGATGAGGAACAGACCCCCCTCTACCGGATGCGTATTTTCGCACCTGATGCTATCGTAGCCAAATCCCGTTTCTGGTACTTCTTGCGTCAACTAAGGAAGTTCAAGAAGACCACTGGTGAAATTGTATCTATTAAGCTGGTGAGTTGTCAATTCAAGCTACATTTTTTCTGATTTGAAATGGTGGGATGTAGGCTTTTGCACAATCTAGAGCCAGTTGCCTGTATGTTACGGCTTCAGGTGTAGAAATTGTGCCAAATTAATGTGAGGGAGAAATATTTTTAAATATCATTCATATTTATCACTCTCCTTCACTACATTTCAACACATCACCTTGTTGCTGTTTCTAATTCCTCTCCCTTCTTGTACCTTTAGATTCCTGAGAAGAGCCCTACCAAGATCAAGAACTTCGGTGTGTGGCTTAGATACAACTCTAGGTCTGGAACCCACAACATGTACAGGGAATACAGGAGTCTGGCTGTGTCGCAAGCCATCACTGCCTGTTACCGTGATATGGGAGCCAGGCACAGGGCTCGTGCTCATGCTATCCAGGTAAATTTTCTATTCTACTGTTTGTCAATTACTGTCAATTACTTCTACTGTAGTCTAACTATCTCGCTTTCTGAATCTGTGTAAAGTATCGGGACTTTAAACTGTACCTAGTGACAGGTGTTTATTGTGGAGTCTTTGATGGCTTACTAACATTTTGTGTGTGATTGGTTATCAGGTTATCAAGTGTGAGGAAGTTAAGGCTGCCAACTGCAGAAGGCCACTGGTGAAGCAATTCCACGACTCCAAAATCAAGTTCCCTCTTCCCAAGCGAATCCAGGGCCGCAGCTTGGCTCCCAGGTTTGCTTACAGGAAGCCAAACACCTACTTTATGTAATTGTTCGGGGAGAAATAAACAGTTTCTTCTTACATTTTCTTCAATTCTTTTTTGACCTTTGTGTAAATGTCTAGTTCATTCCTTCTGACATTGAAATTAATTCATAGTTTTCTGGAGGACCATTATGTTGAGTTTGTTATATTTTCATGCCACGAAATTGGAAGAGGTTAGATAAAGTCTGTAGCTCAGACTTTATCAAGGTGATTTAGGAAAGTAATGAACTGGAAGTATGGTTCCTATGAACAGTGAACTTAACACAACAATGGTGATTTATTAAAACGTATACCTTGCATTGTCGAGAGGTCATGGAAAAATCTGGACTTTGATTGCAAATCTATTTCATAGCTCTAGACCAACCATCAAGTCGTTTTTATTGTAATATTGAAATTCACGTATGTCACCAAAGCTTCAGAATTGGTTGAACACTATGAACTTCTGCTTGGTGCTGTCGCAGTTTTGATAGTGATGGACTCAAGCTGAAAATAAATTTCATTTTTGATTTAAATTCTTCAGTTACATTAAAATTCTGCCATGTCAATTAAAATCAGAACTTATCCACGGTAATTCAGGCCGGTGATTTTCACGCCTTCTGGGGTGATAAGTGTGATCAAGGTAAACACAATAGAAAAAGCCGAGTGCCCTCTGTGGCCCTATGACAGAGGGGAGGAGGGGGGAGGGCACTTCACCCTTCGGTAGAGAGAGTCTTGGGGAGCGTCTAAAAATCGATACATTCGCTGACCCCCCTGTCCTCGAACGCCCACTGCTACACTTTCTCCGTGATTGAAACGGCGTTTTTCAAGTTGAGGTCACAAGACCGTTGCCCCCATCAGCGTAGGTCAGTGCGGGGATGCTTCTCGTTCGAGTACGCGATGAGCTCGCCAGTTGGCGCCCTTGTTTCGCCCGCTGCGGCACGGCCAGCCAGGGAGAGAACGAACGTTGTGGCGGCATCCACCCTCGTAGGTTTGTTACCACGAGTTTGATGTAAACATTTTGCCACTTTCCCCCGTCATTAATAACAAAAGATTGTTCAGGGAAATTCGTGTGATCCGAGCGGATCCGAGGTCCGAAGGTTATAACCCCTTGGTATGGCGTTGGTCAAGCGGCGGTCCCCGACCACCCCCGGCGGAGGGGCTGCCACGGTGCTGGCGGCACGGCCCTTGCTGGTGGCGGGCCGGGTGCTGGGCCTGGTGCCCCTGCGCTGCAGCGCCTCTCCGGCCCGCTGCGGCCACTCGGGGCCCTGGGCGCTGTACTCGGGGGCCCTGACGGCGCTGCTGGCCGTCAGCATGGCCCTCTCCCTGTACAGCACCGCACCCACCGGGTCAGGAATCGAGATTTGTTGAAAATAAAATTTCCTTGGCGACCAGACTTTCTGGGTTGCTCCAAGAACCCTCCGCCACAAACTCAGCCCCCCGTCCTACCCACAGGCGGGCGCAGAACCGCGCCGGCTCGCTGTTTCGCGCGGACATTTTCGTCTTCACCGTGACCTGCCTCAACGACTCGGTGGCTGTGACGCTGCTCGTTCTGGCCAACGTTAAGGTTTGTCAAAAGTCAGGGAGCGAGGTGAGTGGCTTGTCGAGTTGGTTACGATGGGCCGATGCAACCTCTCGACCCGTCGCGCCCGAGTGAAGTGTTTCTCATTAACAACCGGTGGCTTGCTTCATGTACCAGGGCGCCTGCGACACTCGGGGTAGGCCACCGGCCCCGCGCGGGGGAGTGGCGGGTCGGCCTGCCCTGCGTCCGCAAGGCTGCGGGGGAGCGGGGGGAGCCGGGCCGCGCTCACCGCCGGCGGGAGATCTCATGCAGGGTGCGACATGTCGAGTCTTACCCCCGCCGTTGCCACAGGCGCGCGGAGCGGCCGCGGCGCTGAACCAGCTGCTGCAGTGCGCGGCGCGGGCGTTAACGGGGCGCGGCCGGGCGCGCTGGGCGGCCGCGCAGGTCGCGGGGACGGTGCTGTGCCTCGTCGCCTACCTGGTGGGCGTGGCGGTGTTCCTATCTCTTACGGAGCCGGACGAGGACAGGCGCCAGTCGGACGGGAGTGCGCCCGAAGAGGCCGCCGCCCTCCTGGGGCTCGCGCACCTGCCCAGTCTGCCGCTGCAGCTCTTCTTCTGCCTGATCTTCGGCAACCAGGTGGGCTAGAGACTGTTTGCGCGTCGCTCCCTTCTGTGCCAAGGTGACGGCTCTCACTGACTCCCGTCCTACGGCGCAGGTCGGCCTACTTTGGCTGCTGGTACGCACGCTGAACAGACGCCTGGACGCCATGACCCGGGGCCGGGCGCCCCCCGGGGCCTCCAGCCACAACGCCCTCGTCCCCGCCGTGTGGCCAAAGGGACCGTTCACCCTGTACCCAGCAGGTAACAGTCCCCGGCTTTAGCGCGGTTGGACTTGACGGCTGTTTTCAGTTTCCCTGTGTGTTCTCTCGCAGCGTCGCGAGCTGCTACCCGATGGGCCAACCCCAGCCGCACTACGCAACCCGGGGATCCAACGCCGCTTCGAGTCGGGGCGCTTTGCCCAGCACCCGGCGTCGCTCCATCCCGTGAGTGACGGCGGTGGAGGTGCTGCTGCACTTTCCTGGTTGTTGGATCATATGTAATGCAACGTTGAGGTTTCCCGCAGTTCACGGCGAGGTTCGCGAGGTGCATGCCCTGCACGCCGAGGTGCGACACGCTCTCACGCTCCTCACTTCGGCGCACGGCCTTGAGGTGAGAGTTTCTGAGTGAGCTAGCAAAGCATCAAGCCCCAATTGAAAGTGCCCCGACGTGCCCAAGAGGGGAGATCCGCGAGGAGACGTTGGACACCTTTGGGAGCGGTCCAGAATGGAGCGAGCTATAGCGCCTGCAGCGCACAGGGTAGGCCACCCGCCAAGCAGCTGTGCGCAGCCGGCGGCCCATACTGCACACTCAGGTGGGCCGCCGGCTCAACACGGCTGCACGGCGGGTTGGCCTACCCAGCGTTATGCAGGCGCTTTCAACAGCAGGGAAGTCAAAGCTTCACCGAGCTATGTAGTGAGAGACCTTTTAATCCATACGATATGGCAACGCCGAACGCTAATAGTTTTCAGGGACATAAACTTTTAACTGTGATCAGTGATCAGGTCGTTGAATTGTAAATTACATTACTGTATACACGTTCTCGTATGGGCTCAGACTATTCACAACATACATTTTAAATATCTCAGCTGCTGCTGATGGTCCTCGTCACCTTCTCGGCCGCCACTACTAGCCTATACATCTGGCGCACCGACAGGGACGAATGCTCCGGGATGGCGCTTGCCTGGTCCGGGCTCGTGGCGCTGTTCCTCTTCGGCGTGCTCACGGCGGGAGAGCTGGTCAAGCGGGAGGTAGGCCAAGGTTATGATATGAATGGGATCGGGTCGGGTCTGGTTGGTCCTGCTGTACGGCTGAAGTAACACTCGTATCCAACCCCCATCTCATCGTACTCCCAAAACTTGTCGCTAAGAAGCGTGATCTCAGAGAAAAGTGTCTCTTTCTCAGTCGCGGTGTACCATGGAGCTGACTCAAAGGCTCCTAATTTATCACGAGATGAGCCCGGAACTTCGGTGGGAGGTAAGGAAATAGAATAGCATCTCTCAAAATTTTCATACAGTTATGAAATTAACTTCACACTTGTGTAGATGCGTAGATTTTCTCACCAGCTGTTGCACCAAGGGTTGAAAGTATCAGCGTACGGTTTCCTGTCTTTGGACTACACCATGTTACAAGGGGTACGTGATCTTGAAAACTGTTGTGGGCCTGGAGAGTTTGCTTTGGGCTACTTCGGTTTACAGGGGATTTATGTACACTCGTCAGATGATCGGCTCGGTGACGACCTACCTCATCATGGTCATCCAGCTGTCCCCGGAGGACCCTGCCGCCGCCCCCGCTGAAGATCGCGGGCGCGGCAACGCCACCGGCTCCCCCTAGTGTCGTCGGGAGCACCACCACCACCATCCCACCCCCGGGTCCGCTGCTGGTCGAAGCATTAGGAGAACTTTACGCTCTTGCCGCATTGGTCCACCGACTTGCCAAAGCGCTTGACTTTGTACGATGAACTCGGCATCGTCCACGGAAGTGTTTCGATCTGCCCCCGCCACCCGCACCCGCCGCCGCCTTGGCGCTGGCCGGCAGAGTGGCTGTCAAACAAGCGGCTTAACCAGGGGGTCGGGAATAGACTCGCTGCGCCCAGCTTATTGGGTGCACCCTCCGCACGTGCGCGACCAGAGGGAAAAGGAGGGGGGGGG